AAGGAAGACAAGGCCGTTGCGGAGAAGCCAAATGAATTCTTTGCGTCGGTCTTCACTGCAGAGGATGGGAGGGAGACTCCCAAACTCGAGCCATGTTTTTTGGGTGACAGATCTGAGGAACTGCCCCAGATTGAGGTGTCGGTAGAGGAGGTTTGGGAACAAAGTGATACATTAACCAAGAACAAGTCCCTAGGCCCGGCTGGGAATCACCCAAGATTTCGGCAGGAACTCAGATATGAAATTGCCGGACTACTCACTGGGGTGTGTCACCAATCTCTTAACTCTGCCTCTGGCCCAGATGGCTGGAGGGTAGCTCACGTGATGCCGATTTTTCAAAAAGGTTCCGGGGGCGATCCTGGCAATTCCAGGCCGGTGAGCCTAACTTCAGTACCGGGCAAACTGGTTAAAACCGTGGTAAAGAACAGCGTGATCAGGCACAGAGACGAACGTGATGTGTTGGCTTTTGGAGAGGAAAATCACGCCTCACCGATCTATTAGAATTCTTCCAGGGGGTCGACACATGTGGACAAGGGGGAGCCAGCGTCCTTAGACTTTCAGGAAGCCGGTGACAAGGGAGCTGGGAAAAGGGGGAACCAGGGAGGCGGCCAAGTTTGCAGATGACACAAAATGACTCAGGATAGGTCAGTCCAAAGCAGCCCGTGAGGAGTTACAAAGGGACCATTGGGTGACAGTTCCTATGTCCCCGCCCCCCAGCCCTGCACCTGCGCCCCAGGTCCTGTGCCCTTCCCTCTACGATCCCCATGCTGAACCCACCTCCCTCCCCTGGCCCTGTCCCCCCATGCAGTCTACCCCATACAGGGTCACCCCAGCCCTGTGTCCCTCCCGCCATGATGCCCGTCAGTGGACCCCCCCACCCACCCACCCTTTGGGGCATGGAGCAGGGGGAGAGGAATTGACCCCTTCCAGCAGATCCTGGTTTTACCCTAGTGGTCCCTGGAACATGCCAGGAGGCCAGGAATTGCCCCCGATGCTCCCCCTCCCCCTGCTCTCCACCCGGCCCTGTGCAGGGGGTCGGGGGGGACACGACTAACCAGTCTGGGGACTCATTCCAGGTGCTAATCCTGGGCTTGGAGGAGCTGGTGAACGTCCGCAACATTGAACGCCTCAAAAAGGACCTGAGGGTGAGTGGGGGATTGGGGTCCCCCCCGAGCCCAGGCCCTGGGGTGGAGAGTGGAACCACACAAGACTGGACCCCCCTGAACCTTCGCCCCAGGGGGGCAGAGTGGGGACTTGGGCTCCGGGGGGGGGGGAGACTGGGACCCCCGAGCCTGGGCCCTGGGGGCAGGAGACAGGGAGCCCCCAAGCCTGGGGGGAGACTGGAACCCCCCCAAGCCTGGGCCCCGGGGGGAGGAGACTGGGGCCCCCTGAGCTTGGGCCCTGGGGGGAGAGTGGGGACTTGGGCTCCAGGGGCGGGAGACGGGGACCCCCCTGAGCCTGGGCCCCGGGCGGGGTCTGGGACCCCTGGAGCCTGGGCCCCGGGAGGGAGAGACTGGGGCCCCCTGGGCTTGGGGGGGGGGCTGCCCACCAGCCTGGGCCCCATAGGGCGTGGGAGTGGCCTGTGTTGTGGGGTAGCAGTCCCAGCCCGTCGTGTGACATCCTGCCCCTGTATGTGGGGCCAGACAGAGGCCGTGGGGCTGACCCGCAGCAGTTGAGGGTGGGGGGGCTGAACCCTGCAGCCCCCTCCCTGCCTGGCTGCTCCCGGCCTCACCAACCCACTCACCCCCAGGCCTGCTACAAGCTGATTGACAGCTTCCTGGCGCCCCTAGAGCGGAGCGGGGACCTGACGCAATGTGTGGAGTGTGTCCCTGTGCCCCACGGCGCCGCCCTGCAGGTGAGACTCCCCCACAGCAACCCTGGGAATAGAGACCCTCTGGGGACCCCTCCGACCATCCCCTGCCCTGGGTAGGGGGAACCTTGGGGGGGGATCTGTGGGGCAAGCAAAGGAGCCACACGACCCTGGGGGTCTCTGGGTATGGGGAACCCTGGAGGGATCTCATGGGGGCGGGTTTTGCCCCCAGGTTCTTGGGGTTCAGAGCTGTGGGGAGCAGGGGTATCAGGATTTGGGGGGTCACCCCACCCTGGGGGGGGTGCCTGGTCCCCCAAGGTCCCCAGCTGGGGGTGGGAGGGTCCTGGGGAAGGGCCACCACCCCCTGACCCCCCCCCCCACTTTTCTCCCCCATGCTGCAGGAGTGCCTGGAAGCCTTCGTGGCCGCGGCCGAGAGCCGCTTTGGCTGCCTGGTGGCTGGGGGCCGGCTGGCGCTGGCCACAGAGCCCTGGTGGCAACTGGCCCCCCAGGAGCTGCTGCTGCTGAGCTGGCTGGTGGGCTTGCTGCCCCCCCACGCGGCGCGGGACTACCCCATCTACCTGCCCCATGGCAGCCCCACGGTGAGCGCGCAGGGGGAAGTAGAGATGGGCAGGCTGGACGGGGTGGGGGTGGTGGTATGGGGGCTGGTCAGGAGGATGGGGGGGTGTTATGGGGGGTTGGCAGCGACAGGGGAGAGATTTGGATGCCAGGGGTCTCTCAGGGGGGCGCAGAGGGGCTGGGCTGGGGGGCCAGGGGTCTCTGTCTGACAATGCACCCCCCCCAGGTCCCCCACCGGCTCCTCACCTGCCAGCTTCTGCCCGGCCTGGAGGCCTGCCTGATCTGCGGGCCCAGCCCTGCCCTGCACACCGTGGAGACCGAGGTGCGTGTGGGGGGCAGGTAGCATCCTCTGCCCCCTAGAGGGGGAGTGGGGCTGGGCCCCCCAGCACGTTTAACCCCTTCTCCCCTGTGCCCCCAGCTGGTGCCACGGTTCTGGAAGCCCCTGCTGGAGCCGCTGCAGGCGTGTGTGAGCCCCCAGCCCCACGGCCTGCCCCCCGGCATCACGCTGCCCCCCGGAGTCCTGGCGTGAGTGCCCGGGGGACTGGGGGGGGAACAGGGCACAAGGGGGGCACTGGGGGGACCTAAGGCAGGTGTTGCAGGGGGGGAGGTGGGATGGCCGGGGGGTGCTATGGGGGGCTGCAGCCTGGGCGCCCCAGAAGGGCCCAGCCAGTGGAGCCCCCAGCCCCCCAGTTCCTCTTTTCTCTCAGGTTCCTGTTGATCCATCGGGAGCAGAGGAGCAGCCAGAGCTCAGTGCAGCCCCCAGGATCGGGGGGGGAGGGTACGTCCTGCCCCCCAACCCAGCCCAGGGGGAGGGTACGTCCTGCCCCCCAACCCAGCCTCGGGGGAGGGTACGTTCTGCCCCCCAACCCAGCCCAGGGGGAGGGTAAGTCCCTGCCCCCAAAGCCAGCCCGGGGCAGGTATGTCCTGCCCCCTTGCCTGGCATCCCCAGTGCATCTGGGGAGGGGGTACACGCCCTCCTGGGGGGAGGGGAGCCCCGCACCCTGCCCACTGGGAGGTCCAGCCCCCTCTCTCAGTGTCTTCCCTCCTCCCCACAGGCCTGTCCCCCAGGCGCCGCGCCTGTGCCCTGCGCCACTTCTACACCCTGGTCGCCGCCCGCTACTTCCCCTGGGAGGGCAGTCCAGGTGAGTGAGTGGGGGGGGCAGGGGGAAAGCCCGGGGGTGGGGGGAGCCCAGGGAAGAGGGGTCTCAAACCCGCCTGGGGCCTCCCCCCACCCTAACCCCTCCATGTCTGGCAGCCCCCCCACAGGAGCCGTTCCAGGCCGGCTTCCCGCACCGCGCCCGGCACTGCTACGTGGTGAGCGCCACGCACAAGGCCTACGCCATCCACGCCCCCCAGCACCAGCTCTTCCTGCTCCTGGCGCCCCACGTGCCCACCTTCGCCCTGCGGCCCCTGGCCACCCGCACCCTGCAGCGCCTCACCGGGGACGCCGCCTGCTGAGACACCGGCCCGGACACCTGGGTTCTGCCTTGGGGGATGAAAGGGGATTGCTTCAGGCTATTCTGTAGGATTATCGTGTGCGCAAAAGAACGGCCAGACTGGGTCCGACCAATGACCCATCCAGCCCTGTGTCCTGCCGGAGGTGATCGTCGAACGATCCACCCGTCGCCCATCCCCACCTCCTGGCAAACAGAGGCAGGGACCCCATCCCTGCCCAGCCTGGCTAATAGCCATCGATGGACCTGTCCTCCAGGAACGTATCTAGGTCTTTTCTGAACCCTGTTCTAGTCTTGGCCTTCACAGCATCCTGTGGCAAGGAGTTCCACGGGTTGGGGGAAAGAAATACTTCCTTTGGTTTGTTTTCAACCTGCTGCCTAGTCATTTCATTGGGTGAGCCCTGGTTCTTGGGTTATGAGTAAATAACACTTGCTGATTCACTTGCTCCACACGGCTCTCATTTCCCCCCTTAGGCAGGTGCGTGCCTCAGTTTCCCCGATGTACCTGAGTAACCAAGGGGAGGGGAAAATGTGTTTTCTTTGCAGAAGAATGCAGATACCCAGGCGGGGTCTGGGCCCCCTGTGATGTGTCCTAGCAGGTGATGACCCTGGCCCACTGCAGGAAGCCAGCTGGTCAGGAGGGGAGACCAGGGGACCCGGTTTGGCCCCCGACTGAGGAGCAGCCAGGTGTGTGTGTGGGGTGGCTGCTGGTGAGACGGTTCTGGCCTGGGGTCCGGCTGGGGCAGGGGAGAGACGCTCTGGGCTCATGCCTCAGCCAGCTGGACTTGGCTGTAACTTCCTGCTAACAAAGGATTTTCCACACTGCGTTCCAGACGATAAACGCCCGTGTTTTTACCACGCCGGCTGAGAGGCGCTACAGCCTGAGGTGGGGGTGCGCTGCTCCCCTTGGGGGGCGCTCACGATGTAAGCAGGGGTGCACAAGGCTCCCTGGTTAATCCCAGGAGGTTTACCCCAGTGAGAGCATGTCCGCACTGAAGAGGGACTGATTCAGAGCTGGTCAAGAGCACCGAGCCTGCAACAGGTGGTGGCAGAGGTGGGATTGTTGCCAAGGCACCGCTGGAGAAGGATGATCAGCAGCAGGGCGTCCCCGAGACTCAGTTTCCTGTCCAGCAGAGGGGCTGCAGAGCCTGGCGCCCCAGCGAGTGAGCGGAGGCTACAGGCGCTGGAGGACTGTCCGAGGGAAGGAGAGGACCAGGCGGCCCAGCGGAAGCATGGACTGGAGCTGGGGAGCGGAGAGCCAGGAGGACCCCCGTGGGGTAAGCGGGGAGACTCCGAGCTGCAGGGAACGGGACTCCAGCTTGGCGCCCCGCTTTATAGGGGGGGGGTGCGTGTAGACATCTTCCTAACTGCCTGGGAGGTTTGTGATTTGAAGCAGGTTGACCGTGCAGGCGGCTCCACTGTCTCACCCCCTCCTCGCGCCCAGCGAACCAGGAGTTCAAACAGGCTTTGCTGCTCAAGTGTGAACTGAGCCTGAAGCTTTCGGGGTGCATGGAAGACCTGCGTGGAAGGTCCCCACCCTGCTGAGAGAATAGCCCACAAGTGGGGTATGGGGGCCCTGCGCTGGAGGAGTTCTGCCCTCAGGAAGTGGCCAGGAAGCCTCATGACACCTTGTGCCCGCCCCCTAGTTAATCATGCAGCACATGGGGAAACCGAGGCACACACCATGTGCATACAAAGTACTCCAAAAAACACCCCCCACGCGTCACTCCTGGGTTCTCACCTACTCTGCTTGGAGGCTGCTGGATGAAATAACCGGCTGGTTCCTCGGCTGTAGGCAGGTGGAGGTCTGACAGGAGAGCCCCAGCCCCCTCCGTGGGGCAGAGGGGGAGTCACCCCCACACCATGACGGGGAAAAGGCGGCTCCTCCCTGGCACCTGCTCCTCCTTCCCCACCCCGCCGAGGGATCCCTGTATACCCAGCCCCCATGCCCCGCCCCAGAGGTGCCCTTTCTCCGCCTGGGAAAGAGGTCCCTGTGTCCCCGGTGCCCCATCTCCACCCGGGGCAGCAGCGGCACAGGAGGCGGCCAGGGTGGCATGGGGGGGCGACCCCCCGTTTATTACAGTCACATGGAGATCGATACACACGCTCGGCTCCGCAGACGATGGGACGCTAGAAACACCTAGAACGGCAAGTCACATGGTCCTCCCCACCGCTTCCCCCCCAGGTGGGGCTCAGGCCAAGAGGGGCTGGGTCCCACGTGGGGGGAGACACAGGAGATGCAGCCCCCCCCTCGTGTAACATCTTCCCTTTTGGGGGGAGGGCAGCCCCCACACCTCCCCCACCCATGGTCCAGCCCCAGGTTGAGGGGGTCAGGGCTGGGGGGGAGCATTTCCAGCCCCCCCAGCTGCTCTGAGCTGCCAGGGTGGGGCAGCCCTGCTCCCCCCCTTTGAGTTCCCTCCCTCTTTGTGCAGGTGGGGGGGACTTAGGGGGCACGGAGCTCACAAGGGGGGGACTTAGTGTAAACAGACACACTCCAACCCCCCCAGGCCCAGAGAATGGGGGCAACCCCACTAATCCAGGAACCAGGGGCACGAGCTGCTCCCGCCCCCCGGAAAGGCAGCTCCCAAGGGCCCCTCCTGGGGGAATGGGGGGCCCGCACCGGGGGGGGCCCCCTTGGTCCGTCCGAAGCGCTGGGCCCCCACGGGCCAGGCGATGAGAACACGGTTACCACGACGACAGGACGGGGCGGGGGCTCGGTGCAGACACCCCCCAGAGCCGGCCGCAGCCCCGGGCTCAGAACTGCTCGGACAGCAGCCCGCAGAGGTGCCGCGAGACGGGCTCCCGGCTGGTGCGCAGCGTCAGACGGTACATCGGGGGGGGGGGGGGAGGGAGGGAGCGTCAGGCGGTACCCCCAATCACCCCTCAGTCCCCAATCACCCCTGAACTTTCCCTCAGCCCTCCAGCTGCCTCAGCCCCCCAAACCCACTCCCACAACACAGCCCCCCCAAACTTCCCCTCAGCCCCCTACACCCCCCAAACTTCCCTATAACCCCCACCCTATACTACAGCCCCTGACCACACCCCAAAACTAAGGCTGTTGATTAATCGCAGTTAATTCACACGATTAACTCACAAAAAATTAATCACGATTTTCAAAATCAATGGCAGTTTTAATCGCACGGTTAAACCATAGAATACCACTGGAAATGTATTCAGTAGTCTGGATGTTTTTCTACATTTTCATAGCTATTGTATTCTGGGTTGTAAGTGAAATCAAAGCGCATAGTGTTTTTTATTACAAAGATTTGCACTGTAAAAATGATAAACAAAGAAATAGTATTTTTCAGTTCCTCACACAAGTACTGTCGTGCGATCTCTGTCGTGAAAGTGCAACTTACAAATGTAGATTTGTTTGTTTGTTACATAACCGCACTCAAAAACAAAACAGTGTAAAACTTCAGAGCCCACAAGTCCACTCAGTCCTACTTCTTGGTCAGCCAATCGCTCGGAAAAACAAGGTCGGTTACATTTACAGGAGATGATGCTGCCGGCTTTATTTACAATGTCACCTGAAAGGGAGAACAGGCGTTTGCATGGCACCGTTGTAGCCGACGTTGCAAGGTATTTACGTGTCAGATCTGCTAAACATTCCTACGCCCCTTCATGCTTTGGCCACGATTCTAGAGGACATGCTTCCATGCTCACGACGCTCGTTAAAAAAATAATGCGTTAGTTACATTTGTGATTGAACGCCTTGGAGGAGAATTGTACGTCCCCTGCTCTGTTTTACCCGCATTCTGCCATGTATTTCATGTTATAGCAGTCTCGGATGATGACCCAGCACACGTTCGTTTGAAGAACATTTTCACTGCTGATTTGCCAGATTTTACAAATCTGAAGTGCCGTCCAAAATCTGATCTGGACGGGGTGTGGAGGATGCTTTCAGAAGTCTTGAAACAGCAACACTCCGATGCAGAAACTACAGAACCCGAACCACCAAAAATGAAAATCAACCTTCTGCTGGTGGCATCTGACTCAGACAATGAAAATGAACCGGCGTCGGTCCGCTCTGCTTTGGATCGTTATCGAGCAGAACCCGTCGTTAGCATGGACGCCTGTTCCCTGGAATGGTGGTTGAAGATGAAGGGACATGAATCTTTAGCGCATTTGACACGTAAATAACTTGTGACACCGGCTACACGTGAACGCCTGTTCTCACTTTCAGGTGACATTGTAAATAAAGCCGGCAGCAGCATCTCCTGTAAATGTAACCGACCTTGTTCTTCCGAGCAATCGGCTGACTAAGGAGTAGGACTGAGTGGACTTTTAGGCTCTAAGTTTGACATTGTTTTATTTTTGAATGCAGTTATTTTTTTGTACATAATTCTACATTTGTAAGTTGGACTTTCACGACAAAGAGATCGCACGACAGAACTTGTCTGAGGTGAACTGAAAAATACTATTTCTTTTGCTTTTTTACAGTCCAAATACTTGTAAGCAGACAAACAGACAGTTAGCCCTGTACATGTTGTATTCTGGGTTGTAACTGAAATCAATCGATTTGAAAATGTAGAAAACAGCCAAAAATATTGAAATAAATGGGATTCGATGATTAACAGCGCGATTAATTTTTTTAATCGTTTGACAGCCCTACCCAAAACCCAAATCTGTAACACAACCCCAAACCACTAGCCCCCACTCCCCTCCCAAAGCCAGGAGAGAACCCTGGCGTCCTGGTTGCCAGCTCCTCCCCGCCCTGCTCTACCCGCCAGCCCGGACCCAAGCGTCCGGGCCCCCTCACCTGGGCCTGGGCGTTGGGCTCCAGCCGCAGGAGGCAGCCGACCTGCAGCGACTTGGTCTGGATGATGCCGGCGCCCACGTAGTTATCGGGATTGGGGTCCACCTTGTCCAGCAGGGCGCAGCCGAAGCCCAGGAGCTGGGGAGACGCCAGGGGTGGGGAACATCAGAACGGCCAGACTGGGTCGGACCAAAGGTCCATCCAGCCCAGTGTCCTGTCTGCCGGCAGCGGCCAATGCCAGGCGCCCCCGAGGGCATGAACATGCAGGGGATCGTTGAGCGATCCACCCGTCGCCCATCCCCAGCTCCTGGCAAACAGAGGCCTGGGTCCCCATCCCTGCCCAGCCTGGCTAATAGCCATCATGGACTTATCTAGGTCTTTTCTGAACCCTGTTCTAGTCTTGGCCTTCACAACATCCTGTGGCAAGGAGTTCCACAGGTTGACTGTGCATTGTGTGAAGAAATACTTCCTTTTGTTTTAAACCAGCTGCCTGTTCATTGGGCGACTCCTGCTTCTCGTGTTATGAGAAGTAAATAACACTTCCTGATTCACTTTCCCCACACCAGGCATGATTTTATAGACCTTTATCGTATCCCCCCCTTAGGCGTCTCTTCTCCAAGCTTCAAAGTCCCAGTCTAATTAATCTCTCCTCATGCCACAGATGCTCCATATCCCTAATCATTTTTGTTGCCCTTTTCAGAACCTTTTCCAATGTATCTTTTTGGAGATGAGACCACATCTGCACGCAGTATTCCAGATGTGGGCGTGCCATGGATTTATATAGAGGCAATATGATTTATACAGAGGGGGGGGTTCCTCTGGGGGGCTGCTGCCCCCCACCAGGGCCCTGAGCTCCGCAGTCACCACCATGGCCCCAGGGAGTCATAGCCACAAAGAGAACCCAGGAGTCCTGACGCCCAGCACTCCAGCTCTAACCACTAGCCCCCACTCCCCTCCCAGAAAGGGAACCCAGGCATCCTGGCCCCCAGCCCCTCACCTTGGCCTTGGTCACCTCGGAGTCCATGGGGTGATTTGCCTTGAAGATCTTCTGGGCTTCCTGCTGAGGCCTGCAGAACGTGGTGGTGTTTGGGGTGTCATATGGTGCATCCTCCCCACACCTCCCATGGGGGCTGAGATACAGCCTCCGGGCTTCCCCGCAATGGCACCATATGGGGGGG